ATAGACAGAGGAGACGTGCACATTTGCAGAGTGTCGACAGATGACAACATTGCCGATCCGTTATCGAAGCCTTTCCCTTCGTCGAAGCATGAGGGTCATGTTAGAGATATGGGCATTAGATGTTTAGCAGTTCATGATTAGAGCAAGTGGGAGATTGTTGGTTTAGTGCTCTATGATGTACTGTTTATGAGCTTTATTCAGATACATTTGATGTATTGATACTTTCTACGGTTTTATGAGAGTATTTGATTCATTACATGTTCTTGCATACTAGATGTGTTATGAAATCCATGTATAATTATGAATGATACTGAACTCCCTAGTCTTATGTCATTATGGGAATGATGACATAATAAGACTAGTATGATGTGTGATTGATGATCATATAGATGATCATAGGTATTGGATACGATCACAATCATAGGTATTCGTTGGAGAACAGAATACTGGATTGACCCGCATGAGATTGTCACATGGACTAGCGTCATGACTTGAATCTCATATGGCGGTTCCATGATTGGATCCTGAGACCTAAGATATCTACGTAATCCAACATGAGGAGTTGCGTGCTTTGAATACGTCAAACGTTCTGCGTAACAGGAGAACTATAAAGGTGTGTATCAGGTACGAAACGAATCATGTACTGGATTGTAGATAGTCAAGACGGGATTTGTACCTCTTGTAAAAGAGAGAGATATCTCTGGGCCCCTCGTGTGAGCGAGACTGTAGAAATGTGTGGCCGCACTATAGACGAACGTCGTCTATTTCAGACAGTCGAACTCAGTCCACGACAACACGCAGACCGTCCGTTCTATGTGATAGACCCGACGGTCCGCACTAAATGTAGACCCTCCGTTCTGCCTTACTGGAACGGACGGTCCATGTGCAATTCCGGACCGTCCGTTCCAGGTTCCGGTTTTCCGAAAATTAAACCGAAATTAGTGTTAAATCACTTTATAAGAAGGAGATTAAAACCCTAATTCGGTAGAGACTTTTTGGTGCCGACTTTCAGAGGTTTGAGAGAGCTTTTGGATGAGATCCAAAGAGTTCAAAAACCGAAGAGTCTCGTTTTCTCGAAGCACAAAATCGAATAGAGATTCGAGTCCTAGCAGACAAGTTCCAAGCGTTGGAATCCATCCCGAAGTGTGGATACGTGTAGAGGGCGAGGTAATTTCCTCCCTTAAGTGATCGGAACGAACCCGTCGATTGATACAGGCCCCGGATCGATTGAGGTAAGCGTTCTAACGTTTCTACGATTCAATAGCAGCATGGTTCTAGGGTTTTATAAAATTTTTGTTTTACATCCGCTGCGCAAACCCTAGAATCGATCTCTTAGGAATAGGATTCGCTCTAGAGATCCCAGGAAACCCTTCAATACTTCCTCCATTCCCCAAGTGTCGCCGTCGAAGGCGTCGCTCAAAGCCCAGCGAAGAAAACCCAGTTCCTGATGGTTCACCGTGCCGCCGGCAGCTCGGGCGAAGAGGCAGCTGGGGGGGACTCCAAGTCGCCTTTGCGGTTCGACTCTCGTACGATCGAGCAGCGATAGCCTGCCAAAATGCTTCCTGACGCTGAGGTAGAAAAAGAGAGAGCTTCGAAGATGTACCTGGCTCGATCCCGAGGATATCGGCGAACTGACGCATTGAGAAGCGATACTCGTTATTCCTCATCCGAAAATCCATGAAGGCATTCGCTGTGCTGCCATCGCTCGGAAAGTAGCAATGGATGGTAGAGAGGAACTCTAGAGTCAAGGTCTTGAAACTCTTCTCATGTACCGTCAGAAAACTCGACCACCCGAGCCTATCAAAGATACGAACCAACTCGTCACCGAAAAAATTGGTCGGTTGTAAGCCTTGTTGTTCGAGTTTGAGGTAGACGGTCTTGGTGGTGTTGTCCCGGTGATTGATCTGTAATCGATGCACATACGCCAACCCATCATTGTTCTTGTCGGAATCAGCTCATTTTTGTCGTTTTTGATCACCGTCATACCGCCTTTCTTTGGGACGACTTGAACCGGACTTACCCAAGGGCTGTCGGATATAGGGTAAATGATACCTGCATCCAAAAGTTTTAGTACCTCATTCTTGACGACTTCCTTCATCGATGGATTAAGTCTGCATTGATGTTCAATGGATGATTTGGAATCGTCCTCCAGGTGAATTCGATGCTTGCATAATGAAGGGTTGAGACCTTTGATATCATCTAGAGTATACCCGATAGCTTTCCGGTAGTCTCGCAATGTAGTGAGGAGACGCTTGAGCTGTAGATCATCCAAGGAAGCATTGACAATAACAGGATAAGTGGAATCAAGACCGAGAAATGCATACCTGAGTCCTATGGGCAAGGGTTTTAGCTCGAGCTTCGGAGCGACTACAAGATCCCAGTCAGGTAGATGATTCATGGGGGTTGATTCGGCGGCGAAGACGGGCAAAGATTCGAACAGAGGAACAGGCTTGAAATGAGTCCGAGAATCGACACGGTCCGAGTTCATACTCGACACGGCCGTGTCGAGTTGTGCACGGGTTGGCACCGAAATGCTGCACAGTCGTGTCTGGTTTTTCACTTTTGCTCAGACAATTGACACGGGCCGTGTCGAATGACGACACGGTCGTGTTGCATGAAACACGGTCTGAGCTTGTAGCAAACACGGGCGTGTCACGTTCGATGTTTTTCGGCAGAATAACGACACGGTCTGTGTCTGTATCCGACACGGCCGTGTTGCCTGGCATTCCGTCTAAACCGTCTAGGAATGACGTGTACGCGTGAATTTGAGGCTCCGTAAAGGTACTGCAACCCTGTTCAGCCAAAAGAGCAATAGATAGGGCATCAAAATCACGAAATTCAAAGAGTACCTCATCGGTTAAAGCATCCATCAAGTCGATATAACATATAGAGTCCACTGTAGATGGTTGCTTGAAATTCTGGTCGAGCGTGAATTCCACCGTTTCGTCGCCGATCTTGAGTGTCAGTTGGTCGGCACGAACGTGGACAATGGCATCTGCAATGTTTAAGAACGGCCGCCCTAGAATAATCGGGATTTTGGAGTCTTTGTCCATGTCAAGCACAACGAAATCGACCGGTACGTAGTAATCGCCGGCTTTCAGCGGGACGTCCTCGAGAATACCCAGAGGATATTTGACAGAACGATCAGCTAGTTGAAGAGCCATGCGAGTCGGTTTGAGTTCTCCCATGTTGAGTTTCTTGTATATGGAGAGTGGTAGGAGACTTACACTGGCACCTAAATCACAAAGAACACGATCTATAGAAACATTTTCCAATTTACAGGGAATCGAGAAACTACCTGGATCCAACATTTTTGGTGGTAGATCGTGCTGAAGAATGGCGCTGCACTCGGGATTAAGCGTGATGGTTTCCTTCTCGATGACGCGCTTCTTTGTGAGAAAGTCCTTCAGGAATTTGGCATAGGATGGCATCTGAGTGATGACTTCGTGAAACGGCATAGTGATTTCCAACTTACGCACCATGTCAGCAAATCGAACAAATTGGATGTCTTCTTTAGTTTTCTTGAGTCGTTGAGGGAAGGGAACCGGAGGCGGATGATAACTCCTAATTCTCTCTATATCTCCTGGACGTTTTTATAGGATTTATATGAGGATCATGTTCATTTGTAGGCATTATAGGCGTGTTAGGCCACGAAACTCGGTTTAGTTGTGTTTTCATAGGATTACAGGTCTCGGATGCGATTTGGAGCAAGACGGGAGCAATCTGGAGCTAAAAGGATGAAAGAGTCAAGAATTTCCCGCTTTGACTCGGCCCGAGTCAGAAGGCCCGAGTCAGACACCCCGAGTCAGAAGGCCCGAGTCAGACACCCCGAGTCAGAAGGCCCGAGTCAGACACCCCGAGTCAGAAGAATGGGCTGGGCCAAATTCTTAAGAGTCCCGTCTTGACTCGGTCGAGTCAGAGTACTGACTCGGTCCGAGTCAAAACCCAGAAAAAGCCCAGATTCGTATTTTCAGAGTTGGAACGGAAGTAGGACTTCGGGGCGCCGCCTAGGGTTTATAAAAAGAGCCTACAGACGTCCAAAAGGGATGACAGACTTTATACAGACTTTGGAGAGCTTTGGTGAGAGATATAGGAGTTTTACGGGATTTCGGGAAGAAGAAGGAGAGTTGGAACGTGAAGATCGCTTGCTAAGTAGGACTTCGGGGCGCCGCCTAGGGTTTATAAAAAGAGCCTACAGACGTCCAAAAGGGATGACAGACTTTATACAGACTTTGGAGAGCTTTGGTGAGAGATATAGGAGTTTTACGGGATTTCGGGAAGAAGAAGGAGAGTTGGAACGTGAAGATCGCTTGCTGTCGACATGAGTCTTTCTTCTCCCTCTTTTCTTTCTGTTTCTGGTTTTGCTCAGTGTTTTTCCATGAACCGTGAGTAGATCCACGGCTGTGGGTTAGGGATTCGTTTGTGTTTTGGGTATGTTTGAACCCTAACTTGGTTGTGATTTGGATTTGTTTCGGTTTTATCGATATGTGCTTTCTTCGATTGGTGTTTGCTGACCCCTTGGCCAATTATTTCAGATTCTGAACTACATAGGAATATGGGTTTAGTTTCGGATCAAAGTCGATAGAATAGATCGTATTATTCACATAGGAATATGGTTTGATCGACCTAGGGTTGATGATAGTGTTCTTCATGCATCTAGTTTGATAAATCACATAGGGATATGGATTCAGAGAACTTTAGATAGTGAGTTATACGTCGGGATGTGATTTCTCTATCTTTGTTGCTTGACGATTCATGAATACAGATTCAATATCGTGATTCTCGCATACTTAGCATATACCCATACACGCGAATACGGTCCCAACACCCACGGTCATCTTAGATTGCTAGCACCCTAGAATAATCAGGATTTTGGCGTCTTCGTCCATGTCAAGCACAACGAAATCGACCGGTACGTAGTAATCGCCGACTTTCAGCGGGACGTCCTCGAAAATACCCAGAGGATATTTGACAGAATGATCAGCTAGTTGAAGAGCCATGCGAGTCGGTTTAAGTTCTCCCACGTTGAGTTTCTTGTAGATGGAGAGTGGTAGGAGACTTACACTGGCACTAAATCACAAAGAGCACAATCTATAGAAACATTTCCCAATTTACAGGGAATCGAGAAGCTACCTGGATCCGATATTTTCGGTGGTAGATCGTGCTGAAGAATGGCACTATACTCGGGATTAAGCGTGATGGTTTCCTTTTCGATGACGCGCTTCTTTGTGAGAATGTTCTTCAGGAATTTGGCATAGGATGACATCTGAGTGATAACCTCGTGAAATCGCATAGTGATTTCCAACCAACGCACCACGTCAGCAAATCGAGCAAATTAGGTGTCTTCTTTAGTTTTCTTGAGTCGTTGAGGAAAAGGAACCGGAGGCGAACGTGGTGGCGGTGGAATGTATACGTCGCGTTCTTCATCACCCGAGATCTCTGTCGATTTTTCAGCCGATATGGGGTCAGGAAAAGATGTAGGAACAGAGTTAGAGCATTGACCTTTTTCCGTAGATGTGATGACAGGGTTAGCGAGCTCTTTGCCACTGCGCAAGGATACATCGTTACAGTGCTCTCGGGGGTTTGCTTTCGGATTCCCGGGAAGTGATCCCTGAGGTCGCGAAGGGACAGAGGCAGCGAGTTGCACTATCTGGTTATCAACTAACTTCAGATGGGCGTCGGTCTTCTGCTGATGTTCTCGCATCTCGGTGTGAATGGCTTCTTGACCCTGCATAAGTTGTGCAAGCATAGATTTGATGTCAGGGTCAGGACTTACCTGTGATTGAGATGGAGGCAGACCGAAGTTTTGCTGAGGTTGACGGGGAGCTCGGTAATGTTGAGGAGCTTGGTTCTGATGTTGGTAGGCATTTCGGGATTGAGATTGATTTCCTTGAGAGGAGCCCGGGATAGATGAACCACCGAAATTGTTGTGTTGTGCATTTAGAGCGTTGGAGGAGTTCTTGTATGAGAAATTTGGATGATTCCTCCAACCTGGGTTGTATGTGTTCGAGTACGGATTGTTGGCGACGTAGCTGACATCCTCATGCACGTACTCGTCTCGTGATGCGTCCAGATCAGTGATCTGATGGGCATTTTCTACATGCATTCTAAGTTTGGCAAGCTCTGCACATAAAGCATGTATTTCAGACGTACTTTCCTTACCTGCACGGTTGTCCTTAAAACCAATATTTCTGACGAATTCGTGGGAAGGAGCACACTCGTTAGCAATCTTAGTGATTTGTTGTTCGATGAAGTCAGCTATAGTGAAACGACTACTCGCAACCCATAACAACAAACGAGTTCAAATCAATAAGAAGAAACATAGAAACAGATAAAGAAGACTCGTAGCGATCTCTCGACGACGATTCTTCAATCTCTGCTCCCGGGAAACTCCGTCTTGATTCTCTCTCGAGTTCTCTGGCTTCTGCTGTGATCTCTCGATGATCTCTGAAGCTCAAGACGTCTCCTATTTATTTGCTTGGCAGTTGGGCTTCTTCCTTTGCTGAAAACGGAAGTCTGGATGCAAAATAGGAAGTTTTTCAGTAATGCAACACGGCCGTGTCGAATGCAACACGGTCCGTGTCAATTCTCTGAGCAAAAACTGCACTTTAGACATGGGTTGAATACGGGCGAGTTTGAATCAACACGGCCGTGTTGAATGACAACACGGTGCATGAGAATATAGCTTGTATGTACATCATTGATGATGGACTAGCTGGTAGTAGATCATTGATAGAATCTGCGTTTTGTTTTTGTTCGTTCTGTTTTTGTCTTTATCTGTAGGACATGGCGTCAACCGGTAGCGTACCGAGTTTGACAATGCGATCTATCCTTGAGAAGGATAAGCTGGCTGGGACGAACTTCTTGGACTGGTATCGTAACTTAAGAATAGTTCTCAAGCACGATAAGAAGTCGTACGTCCTGGAAAAGGCTCTACCACCAGAGCCTGCGACCAATGCCACGAGAGCTGTCAGGGATGCTTGGTTGAAGCATCAGACTGAGAGGACTAGGTTGTCAGGCCCAGAACTCCTGGTCATACACCGGAAAACCTACACATCAGAAAAATAGGACAAAGAACTAGAATAGAACAGGAACGGGATAAAAGTAAACGAGAAAGGATCTAGTTTCAAAGGAATCTCTATCCTAGTGCTAAACTATTCCCCGACAACAGCGCCAAAAACTTGATAACGCAAATCTAGGTATATAAATAAGCTCAAGTAATAAAGACCTAGATACAGCGAATACCGCAAGGATACGGATCAACTGTAGTACCAGGGTCGAACACAGGGAATAGTTAATACTAAGAACAAGACTCGACTAAGATTCAGATCAGCGAATAGTAGATGAAACAGATGAATATCGAAAATAAAGCAATAAATAAACTAAGTAAATCAGATAACTAAACCACCGTAGCTTCGGGATAACCTTAACGCGTAGGGATTGTTTCTAAGGATGGAGAATCTACGAATATCGAACTCTAATCGGGGATCTCAAGTCCTAATATCAGATTTGGCTCTCTCAAGTCCTAAATTCACTATCCAATAATTTAACCAATCGATCTCTTAACCTAATAGATTAAAATATCAAACGCATTAACGATCACTATCACAGTTCCTGAACCGATTAATCTATCTCTCAATAGTCTTAATCAATTTATTGAATGAATTCATTCCGAATCTAACTCCAACTCTCGTTGTAAATCAGAATCTAAGATCAATCAATCAACAGGCCAAGAAAATTAAAAGCAATAAACTTAATTCAATTAAACCACCGTGTATCGATAACTTAGTCTCGGAAAATAAAAACCAAACAAATCCCTACAAGGTTAAATCCCTAGCTACAGTGAAACGACTACTCGCAACCCATAACAACAAACAAGTTCAAATCAATAGAAAGAAACATAGAAACAGATAAAAAAGACTTGCAGCGATCTCTCGACGACGATTTTTCAATCTCTGCTCCCGGGAAACTCCGTCTTGATTCTCTCTCGAGTTCTCTGGCTTCTGCTGTGATTTTTCGATGATTTCTGAAGCCCAAGACGTCCTCTATTTATTTCTTTGGCGGCTAGGCTTCTTTCCATTCCGAAAACGGAAGTTCGGATACAAAAATAGGAAGTTTTCTCGAAACGTAACACGACTGTGTTGAGTGGCAACACGGTCCGTGTCAATTATCTGACCAAAACTTCTGCGCTTCTGCACGGGCTGGACACGGGCGAGTTGCGGATCGACACGGCCGTGTTCGACGTCGACACGGTCCGTGTAGAATGTCTGTAAGAATTTCTTCGTTTCCTTGCCTTTGCACGACTGTGTTTGAACTCGACATGGTCGTGTTCAAGTACAACTCGAGCTGGAAGTGTCTTTATCGTTCTGTTCCGGTCCAACATGCTCTGAAGTCCTCGATTATGCTCCTCTGGTGTCCATAATGCGTCTATTACCTGTCCAATCACCAAAGAATGCAGAGGAAGCAAAAACCAGTGCTGAATTGATCCTAAAGGTCTAATAACGCATAAAACTGAGGCGAAACCGCTGGACAATGGGCTTTGAAATAGAGGAGAAAACCGTGTTATCAGTATTGGATACGATCACAATCATAGGTATTCGTTGGAGAACGGAATACTGGATTGACCCGCATGAGATTGTCACATGGACTTGCGTCATGACTTGAATCTCATATGACGGTTCCACGATTGGATCCTAAGACCTGAGATATCTACGGAATCCAACATGAGGAGTTGCATGCTTTGAATACGTCAAACGTCCTGTGTAACAGGAGGACTATAAAGGTGTGCATCGGGTACAAAACGAATCATGTGTTGGATTGTAGATAGTCAAGACGGGATTTGTACCTCTTGTAAAAGAGAGAGATATCGTTGGGCCCCTCGTGTGAGCGAGACTGTAGAAATGTGTGGTCGCACTATAGACGAATGTCGTCTATTTCACACAGTCGAACTCGGTGAACGAGAAAGCAGTGGAATCAGATAAGGTGGCTTGTCTGTGCCTTATGTTCGACATATGATATCGTGATACAAAAGGATCATCAAATGGATCACTGGCGTTCGTAAGATCACGAACAAACTCTATTCGAGATAGGTAGTCATAGTGTCTTGCTAGAGACCGCCTATGACTTGTATAACCGAAATAGAGATTTCGGGTTATACTGCTATATCGGATGAGCCTACAGGGTTACACACACAGGAAAGGACAAACGCGCGAGAAAAGACGAGAATTTCTCGGTGGACGGAGGCCAGACCGACAGGTCTAGAAGGTCTGGATCGACCGGTCTAGACACGTGGACCGATCGGTCCAGAGGTAACGTGCAAATGTTGCTCGGTCCAGAAAATGTTCCAGACCGATCGGTCCAGAGCCTGGACCGATTGGTCCACACGTAATAAGCTCCAGACCGATCGGTCCAGAGTCGGGATTTCATTAACTCGCCCAAATTACGGTTTTAAGGTTAAGAAACTTTGGGGAACGCCTCTTAAGCTCTTTGGCACGACTTTCAGACTCTTTTGAGAGGTTTTGAGAGTAGAAAACCGAATAGGTTAATCCCTGAAACCCTTGCGCAAAGAAGAACATGTTCTTTAGTCCTAGTAGACGAGTTCCAATCGTTGGAATCCTTTCCGCCGTGTGGATACGTATAGAGGACGAGGTATTCTTCCTGCCTACAGTAATCGGACGAACACATGAATTGATACAGGCCCCAGATCGATTGAGGTAAGCGTTCTAACGTTTCTACAAGATCATGCATGATAAGTTTTAGGGTTTTATAAAATTTTTGTTTTACATCGGCTGCGCAAACCCTAGAACTGATCTTTTAGGAATTAGATTCGCTGTAGGGATCCCAGGAATTCCATCAGTAGTATCAGAGCCTGGTTTCTTTGTATTATTTTGTTAGAACCCGATCACGCACGTTATAGGATTTGAATCGTTTGAATCCGTGTTTTCTTTGATGCTATGCATGATTTGATTGTGGATCTATAGTAGATTTTCTGTTGCATAGTATGCAGGAGGTTTGAATTCTGAGTTCGCAGGCGAAAACCGGGTCGAATTCGGGTCTGAAACGGGGCAGAAACGACAAAAACGAGATCTGATCACGTTTTCGTCTGGACCGATCGGTCTAGGGTTTCTCGATGTTGGTTGGACCGATGGGTCTGGACCGACCGGTCCACATGTGGACCGATCGGTCTAGGGCCAACCGGTCCACATGTGGACCGATCGGTCTAGGGCCAACCGAACGGTCTGGAGGCTCGAACTGAAAGGTATGGACCGTTCCAGATCTATCAGACCGGATTGC